AACAAAGAATTTTATATTCTATTCTATTGTGTGAAACCAAAAATAAAACCGAATGCAAAGTGAAATTTGGAAGCCGTGGAAAATGCAGTCCTCGGCTTATTTGAGTGCACAGCTGAGGCGCCACTCCAGAGCTGTTTCCCTTAAGGGCATCACCGCCTCCTAAAAGAGTTTAAGTAAGTGGAGTTTATAATATCCCTTCCCAGGTTTTCCCGGGGGGGGGGGGGGAATTCTAGAAATGTCTTTCAAAATTATTGAGAAGCTGCCATGATGAGCCGAGCCAATTTAAAGTGCAAAGCTTGGGTGGATGATCTGATCAAACAGGTTTTAATGCTCAGCTGGTTTCACTGGAGGCTGGAAAGAATGCCAGTCGTTTTTAGCGTTGGTCTCTCTTTCAATTCCCTTTGAATGCAGCAAACGGCTAGTTGGGAGAAATATACTCATCTGGTTCACTTCCAAGAAAGGCAAAAGGAGGAGAGAAAATGGAGGCCGATTGAATAGAATAAACAGTAGAATAACAGAGTTTCCTGCTTGGGCAGGAAACCCTACACCGCTTCAGACAAATGGTTATCCAACCTCTTTTTAAAAACTTTCAGCGTTGGAGCATTTACAACTTCTGGAGGCAAGTAGTTCCACTGGTTAATCGTTCTCGCTGTCAGGAAGTTCATCCTTAATTCCAGGTTGTTTCTTCCCTTGATTCGTTTCCATCCGTTGCTTCTTGTCCTGCCCTCAGAAGCTTTGGAGAATAGCACGACTCCCACTTCTTCGGGGCAGCCCCTGAGATTTAACAGATAATCAGAGTTGGAAGGGACCTTGTAGGTCATCTAGTCCAACCCCCCCGCCCAAGCGGGCGACCCTACACCGTTTCTGACCAATGGCAGTCCAGTCTCTTCTTGAAAGTCCAATCTCTTCTTGAACATTGCAACAGTGCTATCATGTCACCCCCTGGTCCTTCTCTTCACTGAACTAGACATACCCAGTTCCTGCAACCATTCTTCATATATTTTAGCCTCCGGTCCCTTAATCCTCTCTGTTCCTGTGCAAGAACAGATATGCCCTTGTCAGACTCCGGTGGGGACATGTAGGGGTCATGTTTGTCTGAGCTAAGTTTGGCTGAAGTTCGGACTGTTGATGCAATGAAGAGTCATTGGGCAATTCCTATCGCTAGTCGTTTCTGGCTCTAGGGGTCGGTGCTCCTCTCCGTTACAAAGCCGAAGAGCCAGCGCTGTCCGAAGTTGTCTCCGTGGCCACGTGGCCGCCATAAACACCGAAGGCGCACAGAGCACTGTTACCTTCCCACCAAAGGGGTCCCTATTTTTTCTACTTGCATTTTTACATGCTTTTGAACTGAGACAAGGAATGGGAGCTCACTCAGTTACGCAGTGCTGGGGATTCAAACTGTCGAATTGCCGACCTTTCTGGTCTACAAGCTCAGCCACTGAGCCACCCACGTCCCTAAGGACTCCGATTGTGGCAGAGGGCTAATCCTACCTTTGTTGGATGTTGGGTGAGGGCATTTGCTTATGAATAGAGCTATCTATCCCTTTATCTCTTAAGTGCTGGCATCTGCTGTGGGCTATTAAGGAAGGTGGGGGCTGCTTTCCAAGAGCATGTGCCTCCATTCCTCCTTTAGGGAAATATAATATTTTGCCTTTTTAATATTTCTCAAACTATTTCTAGGAGAGAGGTGGGTGCTAATTTTCTATATGCTTTTGCACATTGAGCAAACAAGCCAGCATCTGGCCCCAGCTTTGTTTTGTTTTTCGATATCTAATTCCAGTTTGTCTGGCCTGGTCAAAAGTTTAGGGTTGCTCAAGCAAGCCAGAGCTAGTTTTGCCATTGCAGAAAGAACAGAAATTGTGAATTCCACTAGTATGGAAGCTGAGGTACATGCTTATTAAAGCATCCTGCGTGGGGATTTCTGGCAGTGGAAGCCCACCCCTCTTAAAACATCCTGGCTGGGGGATTCTGGGAGTGGAAGTCCTCCCCTCTTAGAGCAGGCTGGCTGGGGGATTCTGGGAATGGAAGTCCTTCCCTCTTAAAGATGCTGGCTGGGGGATTCTGGGAATGGAAGTCCTCCCCTCTTAAAGGATGCTGGCTGGGGGATTCTGGGAGTGGAAGTCCTCCCCTCTTAAAGC